TCATTCCTATTTATTAGAGCACCTCCTGCTCAGTTGTGCCAAAAATTGTTTTTTCACACTGTGAAATATATCAGATAACTGATCTGTGTTGAAAATAAATAATAAAAAAAAATAAGAATTAAAAAAAAACTGTGGAAAGAAGGCAGAAATTAATCTAGATCTCTGATTACCTTTGTAGAGTGTCCCCACATAGAAATTTTGCTGGGGGCAGCTCACTGCAATCCAGGAACAAGAGCAAACAGCAAGGGAAAGGAACCACTGAAGTCATCATTGCTGCCAAAGTGTCGGCATTTATTCCATAAAATTCAGCTCCAGAATCTATACCCTTGTGCTGCTTTTTCCATATTGTGATGACCTCCAAAGGTCTCTTTCAACCTCAACCTTTCTACATTTTTTTTTCCTGCAAACTGTTAAACATCTTCCTAAAACAGACTAGCAGTGCCATCAACAAAAAGGATTCTTCTGAACTCCACTGAAAAGCTTGCATACAGAACACAGCAAAGAATGTTCAAGAAATTAAAGAATTATATTCATAGCATCACAAAGAAAGACAGAAACAGAACAACACAGTGGAGAAAATGAATTTTAAAGGGCTTTGTCTTGAAAAAAAAAAATTCTGTCTCATGAAGTGAGTCCTCTTTTTTGCCCAGCTCTTCCTGATATACCATGGCAATAACTAAGCTAGTCAGCCTTACGGAAGTATATAAGAATCCAAAGAATACAACTGTAGTGACCAAATGCCTTTCTAAGTAAGATTTTTCAGTCACGTATCTGGTTAAATGAATCACAATAGTCTAAGATTTTACTATTCTTCATCCACTAACATACTTTATTTATTCCAGAATATAACTGGCACAATGTCTATATTTACTGGTATATTCAGTAATATTTAAGTCCTTAGAAAAAATCACTGCATGAAAAAATTATAGAAGTTTATAGTTAACAAACAAAATTTTTTTTTTAACAAACAAATTACCAAGTAAAAGATACTGAGAACTATAGAAGATACCCAAATGAGTCACTACATTCTGAAAAGTCTTATTCAAAATTAAAATGGTTTCATCTATTGCTGGTTTATTTTTGAAACCAACACCACCGTTTATAACAACACATACATGAAAAAATATGAAGGGCTGAAATTGGCTATTGTATGTTTACCAGCAAAACTGGAAGTCAATCAAAATTTTACACAGAGAAAATAGGCCAACAAAAATAAGAAATGCAGAAAAGTTTGAAAAGCAATCTGTCTATCTGGAAATGTGACATTAAAATGAGCCAAAGACTATGATTTGTTGCTTTTAAATGCCAGGTAAATGTTTCTGCCATGACCTCTTGCCTAATTTAAAAAAAAATAAAAAGTGACCTTATTGGATGCATTGCCATTAACAGTTTCAGAATGCTCAAATACTCAAATAATTTGAAAAAACTGCTACATAAACGATATCCAAAGGAACAGAAATACTTAACATTTGTTGATGTCTTAGACACCAACATGGCTAATGAAAACCTCCAAAACTAAAATTACAGCAGCTACTATTTTAAAATCATTAGCCAATGCTCTGTGATCTTGCATTTTTCATAAAATAGACTGACGGGTGACTTCAACACAGTCTTGCTAATGAATTATGTAGACTATACTAAGTAGAGGGGAGTTCCTATAAGCCTAAAATCAGGGAACATGAGCCAACACACTTACTACTAGACGGACATTTTAAGTTTATATAATCCCATATTTTATTTCATTTTCTTTGTAGAAACACCAGTGAACTAATACACAACTTCTTAATCAAAATATTTATGCAATTCAGTTACAGATGTAATGTAAAATCACAGTATCTAAAGTAAATATCTGCATGTTTTCATTTGACTGCTTTGTGTATAACCAAACTTGCAAGCTCATCTGCACAATCAATCAATTTATCTTGAAATTGCATGGGCCATGCAGCCCACTAAGCAAAGCTAAATAATTTTGAAAAAAAAAAAAAGATGTCACAAAAACATGCCAATGAACAGCATTCTGTAGAAATACTAATATACAGTACATTGCCGTTACTCTGTATAGAAATAGTTCTGCTAAGGATGTGATAGAGCATTGAACTCACACATATGGCTTCTTAAAACCATTTCTCTTTTTCTAAAATTTTGTCTCCATTATTTTTTCAATGTGTAAAATAATAACATATTTAAACTATATAGTACTTATGTTAAATAGACCCAAACATATGTTATCTTTTCAAGTGCCAATCTTGCAAACTACTTTGTGTTGTAAGATCACTGAACGCACACTGATGGGTGTTGCTGCAACAATACCACCAGTGCATTACAAAGTGGCATGTTGCCCAAAACAATACTGTCTAAAAAACAACACAATACCCCAGTACTGTTTAAATAACTGTGAAACAAATAGTTGGCAAATAGTATATAATTTAGAAGTAAAAATAATCTTACTATATTCTTGGATATTATAAAGGTTACCATCAGTGACATTGTACTGTGTATTCACACATCATTTAGCATATTTAATGTTGCACATTATACTCTTAAAAACTACCTGCAAACACCATTATTAATTATATAAAACATTATAGCCAAGTATAGATGGCACATAATACTTCAGTTACTGAAGGATTAGAAACATTTCTCACCTATAGACAGATAAATATCATAAGGAAAATTTCAAAACACAATATTTTATCTCATTTAGCTGAATTTTTAAAAAGTAATAGAATTTCATTTTCATTCATTTTCTTCAACAGAAGAACTCTAACCCACCTAATAGAAATAATTTTGCTATCACAAAAGTTGCTAGGAAATCTGAATCCTTAGCTGTAGAAGAATGCCTGCCAACTGGAACTGCTCAGGCCAGCACCACCAGGTCGCTTAGGGCTCTACATCATGTCTACTGTAGCCCCATTGCAGAATGCAGTGCCAGGACTGATGGGGAGTTTCTGTCTCACTCTGTCACCTTGTGACTCACTTTCACTGCTCCCCTGTCTCTTAGCTCTTCAGGGTAAGCTGTGTGCATCTTTGGTTCATGGCTATCCTAAAATTAATCAGGAAAATTGGTTGCTAATGCTCTGGAATTCTAGGTGTGTGTCTACCTCTCTCTATCCTTTTCTCCACGCAGCTTAAAGAGAGGCAATCAGGACCAAACTACAGTCAGCAGGAGAAGCTGAAGAAGCAGCTGAAGCAAGGCCCTTAGGTATTCAGAAGGTTTCTCATTTTGACTAGATCTCTGCCTTACGAGGACTAGACCTTGAAACAACATACTCGCAAATACTGGGCCATCAACAAGCATCCCACATGTGTCTGTCTCATCCTCTTTTCATTTTGGTCTCTTTATCTCCTTCTTTTCAACACCTGTATCTGTCTTCCCATGTAGCTTATCCAACCTTATGTTAGTCTCATTTATTTAAGTTTAATCCAAGGCTATCTGGTATCTCTGCACATAACACTGCCTAGTGGAAACATATCCTATTCTTGGTTGTCCTTCTCATTATACCATTGTAAACATAATACATAGTGTTACTCTATTTTACAATAAGTATATATAGTAACTTTAAGGCAAAGTAATCATTCACATGGAAGCTGCAGAAGGAACCAGGTTTGGGGTTTATTTTAGTATGTGGTTATATCTTTGAAATACCAGAACGCTAGGAACTGACAACATATGGGAAAAGACATAATTTGGTCTTAGAAACAAAATTGTTCTCTGTGGTGCTGTCTCTATAAACTTGATACCACTTCTCTACTAAAAATCTAAGCTTTATAGAGTTGATATCCCAATGAGTTTTTTGTCATGTGTGAAATATTGCAAAACCAAAAGGATATTGAGCGTTGTGCCATTTTCCAGGAAAGCATCCACTTCTTAAATGTAGATTAGGATTCTATACATACATTGTTTCATTTGTAATCTTCTTTCCAATCTCATAAAGAAAAGCCTAACCCAACATCTGACCGAATGAACCTTAATTTGTTTTTTCCTCTAACCTTAAGCTGCAAGACCAGTATGAAGACCTGTTTTATAGAAAATCTTCTTTTAAAGGGCAGGTGGTAAGGAAACAGCTTGCAGATCTCTGGATGCTCTAAAGCATCAAAACCTTAAGCATGGGAAAACTAATACTATCTCACGATAGTAATAAACCTGCTTACCTGGTTCACCTGCTTTTTATATGTTAACAGCTCATCTTTAGGCCGAGATTCATTTTCTGCTGCTTGGGATTCTTTCTGAACTACTGGTGTCTTCTGAGGGAAAGAATAAATAAATGTAAGAGGCGAATGTACAATTTTTTTAAAACACTTTTGTGCTCCCTGACAGGTACTTCAGTACAATATTTATTGTATGCAACTATTTTTTCATCATCCATGCATTTTATAAAGCACCTAGAACATTTTATCAATTTTATCTTAAGCCAAAAATTTCCTCAACATCTAACTGGATTTACAAAAATAAATATAGTAATAGACAAAGGACCTACAATGATTAACACTAAATAAAAATATTAATAGACATTTCTTATCAAAGATCTGGTCTGTTTCTTCTACAAATTGCACTTTTAAAATGCAAGAAGAAACAGACATCAGAAGTCTGTATCAAGATCTATGATCCTTTAAAGCAAATAAATGGTTAATACCTCTAAACATTAAGCACCCCCCATCCATACCTAAGTTTAAATATTTAAATTTTAAAAATAGTTTCAATGAAAGGCATAGAATGATGGGCACTATTATATGAATATAGATGAAATGTCTTATGATTCCATTGCTTTAATCAGCATGCTACTTAATAAAAGTGAAATTGTTTATATCCAGCAGTTGGAGAATCAAACCCCACAAGAAAGGGAATGAACAAGAGACACAAAAATGAAAGAGAGAAAAATAAAGGTATATTAATAATTTATGAAGCACCAAAAGTTACCAAGGACTATTTCATTTCCTTCCCAGTTTTATCAGTTTAAAACGTGAACTACCTATCTTAACAACTTTGCAAGCAAATAGAAGTACTATTAACTTATTATATTTTAACATTCCTAGATACTGCAGAATGTTACCAGGCTTGCTTGGTGAAAACTTGGCAGCACTTGAGATTCAGTTTTTATTTCCTCCTGTTCAATTGGTGCCTGCTGTATAAGCAAGAGAAGAAAACTAGTGTCAAACAGGAATGCTTAAAAAAAAATTATTACATAGCAAAACAACATCAAAACAATATATATGCATAAATTAAAGTTCTAGCTGCTAAAAAGAAGAGCTAATCCTGTCCCAGCTAAAACCAGGACAGTTACACAAATTAGTTTGAAAGCAATAAGTACATTCAGAGACAAATGATCTTAGGCTCATCTTTTGCAAACATTGACACACAGGCTTAACTCTTTATTGCAAATAACTCCTCCATGGAACTGCGTATAGTAGAGAAGTTTAAAAGCTGGGTGCAATTTTTAGTTAATTGTTTTCTCCACAATGGAAAATTATAATTGCTTCACTAGCAGAAAAGCTACTACAAAATTTAAAGTTGTTCTCAGTTCTCAAACATACAATTCTTTCTTGTCAAAGGAACAGTTCAACAAGTCCCCTTTTGGTTACAGTATACCCATATGAAAAAAAAAAAAAAAAGAAATAAAACCCAGCAACCACTCTCAAAACAGGTGGTAGTTTTAAGGACAGTGTGCTTTCTAAGCACCTGGTTAGCACACATGTACGTAATTCAGCACACACGTACTTTACCCTTTCTGCCATATACCGGCTTGAGGAACCAAGTTTTAAAGATAACAGTAAGAAACAGAAGTAACACATCCAAACCACATTTCATTTAGAATACAGTTCTTCAAAACTGCTACAGAAATGTTACATATTTCTGAGGAAAATATTTCACAGCCATAAATAGATGCATTTATGCAACCCTAATGCATTAAAGCTATGAGCTGCGTGTGTGTCAGAAAGAGTCTGTCACTTCAAGAAAAAAATCCTTTGCTGGCACTGAAAGTGTCCATTTGCTCTTTTAATGTAAGAATCTTCCATACAGTAGAATTTTTATTCCATTGAGTGCATTGTCCACCTAGCAAAAAAAAATATAAATTTTCTTAATGCCTAGGATTTTTTTATGTAATACTACATTTAATTTTAATACCACATAAGAAGCATATTCTGAACTGTAACATTGTTCTTCTTGTATATTACAAAAAGTGAAAAAAAGGAATAGTCTTGCAGGCCAGCAAAAAGTGATAGATGCATGTACTACCCCAAAAATTTAAACTATAAAGCAATAAAATGCTATGGCCTTGCAGAATATTACACATGTTGGCATTTTTCTTTTAACCAAAGCCTTAGTAATTTATCTACCTCTGACAGAAAAGACGACTTAAGAAAAAAAAAATCATATTACATATTTTTTCATCACCATGAGGGCAAGGAACTAAAGGAATGTAGTAACAGCTCAGACCAAAAGGAACAGACTCAACATTATCTTCTCAAGCTATACCAACTAAATTTCCTTTCCTTTTTAACATGTGCATATGGTGATTACCATGGACTATTAATTATTACCGTCCATCTTAGCTGACTGTAATTCTTTCTCCATGCAATTTATTATCCAGTTCATGGAATCAAAGAGAAATTTTCACAAATCCTTTCATTCAACCAGACTGGATCAACTTGCATTTCTAAACTATGACATAATATGTAAATTACAACTTTACATATTAATTTTCCTGTTCTGTCAAAATCAACAGAATTATATGAGCAAATATTAACTTAATTTCATTTTAGACACCTATACATATTGTGTGATTGCTTTCCTTTGTTGGGTGTGGTGTTTTCTCTTTTGTCCACTCCCCATGGGAGAATCACAGGCACAATGCCATTGTGTTATTTGAATAAAATGATGTGGACTGTGCGTATATGTACTATGGTTTATATGTTTGCATTAACAAAAACAAGGCCAAATAAGTGTGATCTAACTTTGGGAAATAAATGTGTTGAGAACTGTGGCAACTCTTAATTCCTGTAGGAATCTGTTCTTGAGTGTTCTGCCCATTCTTGAGGAAGCTATTTCCTGCACTGGTATTTTAACCTTGTGACAGAAACTTCTACTGCACCTTTAAAAAACAGCTTTATTAGCCATAGCCTTCCTCCTGCTAGTGTAGAAAACTATTTAGGTACCTGAACACCTTCATAATTCATTAGAAACCATTTTAATATTTTTAGTCATTTTGGTATGTCTGTGGTACCATTTGTAGCTAAAAAGATTCATTGTGAGTCCTGACATACAGAAAAGTAGTTTTTTTGTCATTTGGGTTTTTTTTATAATTACCTCTAAATTTATCTTTCTTAAATATTTTCATCTAGTATTTATTTGCTTCCTCATTCGATAGGTACATGCTATTAAAATAAATTATTTTCCTCTCCGTTTTGACACGAAAAGTCTCTATCACCAGTGCAGAAAAGACCCTGATGAATGACAAAACAAAGTCAATCTAGATGTGCAACATACAAATATTTTAAAACATTCTTTTAACATGGTGAATTTATAAAAATAATTTATATGCAAGCAGAGCTAATCACCCTGTACCCCTTTGACAAAGCTTGAAACTCTGGGAGATTACAATCTATCTGATTAAAAACAATTTGTCGCAGTAAGATATTTAGAGGTAATTATTAAAAACAAAATGTCACAGAAGGCAAAGGCAGGGACTGGGAGAATGAAGAACCGCCCACTGTAGGAGACGATCAGCTTCAAGATCATCTGAGGAACCTGTAGGTTCACAAGTCCATGGGACCTGATGAGATGCATCTGCAGGTCCTGAGGGAACTGGTGGATGAAGTTGATAAACCATTATCCATCGTATTTCAGAAGTTGTGGCAGTCCAATGAACTTCTCACCGACTGGAAAAGGGGAAACATAGCCTCTATCTTTAAAAAGGGAAAAAAGAAAGACCCAGGGAACTACAGGCCAGTCAGTCTCACCTCTGTGCCTGGCAAGATCATAGAGTAGATTCTCTTGGAAACTATGCTAAGGCACATGGAAGAAAAGGAGGTGATTGGTGACAGCCAACATGGCTTCACTAAGGGCAAAACCTGCCTGACTAATTTGGTGGCCTATGACAGGGTTAGAGCCTTGATGAATAAGGGAAGAGCAACTGACACCATCTATCTGGACTTGTCCAAAGCATTTGACACTGTCCCACACAACATCCTTGTCTCTAAATTGGAGAAACATGGATTTAACAGATGGACTACTTGGTGGATAAGGAATTGGCTAGATGGCCACACTCAAAGTGTTGCGGTCAACGGCTGGATGTCCAAGTGGAGACCACTGACGAGTGGTGTTCCTCAGGGGTCAGTATTGGGACCAGCGCTGTTTAACATCTTTGTCGGTGACACGGACAGTGGGATCGAGTGCACCCTCAGCAAGTTTGCTGACAACACTAAGCTATGTGATGTGCTCAACATGCTGGAAGGAAAGGATGTCATCCAGAGGGACCTTGACAGGCTGGAGAGGTGGGCTGCGCAAACCTCATGAAGTTCAACAGGGCCAAGTGCAAGGTCCTGTACGTGGGTTGGGGCAATCCCAAGCACAAGTACAGGCTGGGCAGAGAATGGATTGAGAGCAGCCCGGAGGAAAGCCAGCTGTATCCTCGGCTGTATCCAAAGAAGTGTGGCCAGCAGGTCGAGGGAGGGGATTCTGCCCCTCTACTCCGCTCTCGTGAGACCCCACCTGGAATACTGTGTTCAGCTCTGGAGTCCCCAACACAAGAAGGACATGGAGCTGCTGGAGTGAGTCCAGAGGAGGGCCACGAAGATGATCCAAGGGCTGGAACACCTCTGCTATGAAGACAGGCTGAGAGAATTGGGGCTGTTCAGCCTGCAGAAGAGAAGGCTCCGGGGTGATCTTACAGCAGCCTTCCAGTACTTAAAGGGGGACTACAGGAAAGCTGGAGAGGGACTTTTTACAAGGGTATATAGTGACAGGACAAGGGGCAATGGCTTTAAACTGAAAGAGGGGAGATTTAGATTAGATATAAGGAAGAAATTTTTCACTCAGAGGGTGGTGAGGCACTGGAACAGGTTGCCCAGAGAACTTGTGGATGCCCCATCCCTGGAAGTGTTCAAGGCCAGGTTGGATGAGGCGTTGGGCAACCTGGTGTAGTGGAGGGTGTCCCTGCCCATGGCAGGGGGGGTTGGAACTAGATGATCTTTGAGGTCCCTTCCAACCCAAACCATTCTATGGTTCTCTGAACAAAAAGTGAGATACTGTAAATTTATGAGCAAATATTTGTTTGATTTGCTTATAGATATAGAGCAAATACAAGTCTATCTCTTCTTGAATTTTAACAATAATCAGCCTCCATCAAACCACCTTTGAGAATTAATGCATTACATAGAAAATCTTCTCAAGGCCTCACTATTGAGATTAGCTGACAAGAGCTAGAGATGTTTTTTTTAAAACTCAAGTATACTTTATGTTGCCTTGCTGCTGTTATGGTGCATTGTACAGTCTTTATTTAATAGAAGCATTCAAATTTGATGTTATTTTTTGAGAACAAAAATGTTCATTTAGTTATCGCCCTCACAAACTCATCCGAGGTATCAAAGAACTGATCTTCTGAAAATAGTAACTAACTAAAGATGAGCTGCAGGTTTCTCACCAAGAAAGCTGAACCTCAAGCTGGATATCAAGAAAATGCATTTCTGAAAGGAATATAAACACCCTCCTATAGATACTAAATTCAGCATATACCTTAATAACTCAACATACTTCAGAGGTAGTGACAAGCCTCAAGGCAACAAAGTTACTCCACGCATTGGAAATTATATTATTCTTATAATAAAAATTCTACTTTTTAACAGAAAACATAGTAGGAATTATTATTCACAACTGATTTTCCTCAAAGGAAGTGGGGCTAAGTACTAATGTCCCACCAAGCTGGCATTCCATTCCCCAGATAATGCTTTTTTTGATGTGGAGGGAAAAACAGCACTCAGCCTCCACAGTAATATCACAAGCTATCAATCCTAACTAGTCATTAATGCAAGATCAAGAATAAGATAAAGAGAATAGAATATTTTTTTTGCAAGAAATGAAAAACACATTTAATTCTGAAAGCTGGTTTTCATTTTAGTAGTTCTGCCCTTTTTCTAGGTATTTCTGTTTCATGTAAAAGAACACATTTCTTACTTCATTAGAGAAGGAAAGCCTTGAAGCTCAGTGTAAAGTAAATAAATCATGTATAATAATAATAACGAATTGCTAAAATCTTCATCCTATTTATAAGGTCAGTTAAGTTCAATAGACACTTGCTGCAAAGGTCTTTGATTTCAAAAAAAAAGTAATCAGAAAGGATGTCATTTATCCTCACTAATATGTCCATACCTAAAAAAATTAAACAACAAACAACTTGACCAGAAGTCATTACCAAGTTCAAATTTTCATTTTACTTTGAACCTGATTGATGTAAGCTTTAGAAATAAAGAATTAAACAACACAGTACTCCCGAGGTCAGATTTTCAAAGCTCAGAGCCCAGTAGTTCCCACTACAAACAACAGAAAATCAGTTCTGTTCAATTCCAATTAAGAACATCAGAACTCGCAGGAGGCCAAACTCAAAATCTTACCTAGAACATAAGCCAGATGTATAAAAGAGTAGGAAAAAGCACATAAGGCAGCACTTTACTCATCACTAATAATTATTTTCAGTAAGTTGAACAAGACACGTTTTTTCAGATCCGGGACCTTCTTTAGTCCACTCCTCATTTGCCCTGTAGCATTTTTGCAACTAGCTGGCAAATTTCAATGAAAGAGAACAGTCCCAAGTTATTACATTCCTAAAATACAAGTCAAGCAATGAAGAGGGATCATCTCAATGCTGACACAGTGAGGAAAGTCTTCTCTGATTTCAATCCCAATTGAAATACACCAGAAAATATACAGAGAGTGGGAGACACTCTGAACGCCTCAACCACACAAACAGCTCTCAGAAGAACAGAACAGAAGAAAATCAAATTAGAGGACACAAATCTATTGGAAATTCAGTTTCAGGCTACTGGTGCTCAAGGACTTACACATTTAAATTAACTCAGTTCAGGATTCTTTTTTCTTCCAACTTTTGTATTTAATCAGAACACAGTCAATCTCACATTAAGGGAATGTAAGGTGCCACATCGACATTCTATGAGAGATACTCTATGATCATAAAATGTAACATGTCGACAGTTGTGGGAAACAATGTTCTTTACCATCTCCTGAAACATAGTTTCATATGCTTTTTGTCAGTCTTCCATACTTCCTTGCAGAGGCAGTCGCTGCTGAAAAGGAGTATTTCACCCTCCACAGGTCTATTCGTTCCATGGCATCCCTAACAAGTGCCAGCATGAATACTAAGTGTGGCAGTGATTTTTGTGACCTAAGTTTCAGCCCCCTTGGAACTAGCACAAAACTATCAGTCTTGCTAAGAGCGGACAAAGAACCATCTGATAGTAAGTTACTAGTCTAGTTAACAAATGAATCAGCAAACCTCTGGTGAACATCTAGGAAAGTTTTCTGTAGCATCTACCCGATGCCTAGCATTACTGATATCTCCTGCTGCAATTAATTGAAGGAACTCTCTTACAGCTGCTTACACAATCTACCTAACTGTGGCAATAAAGGATTCGTTCACAAGACAAACAATAACTAAAAGAAGCAATACTTCCAACAATATTCCAAATGCATTTAATGCATTTTTTTTTCATCTGTCAGACTGGAATATGTCATCTTAAAAAACAGAAAGGAGAGTAAAGAAAAAGGTGTATTAAACTATAAGCAATATAATAAAAATAACAGCCCAAAAGAGCTTATGTTTTAGTGCATTTTGATACTGGCTCATTTTCATTTTTAAGGGACATCAAAAAGACTGGCAGAAGAAGCAGTGAAGAATATTCTATGATACATTAGTGTCTTTATGTATTTGTTTTGTCTGGCTTCTGTGTTATAACACATTGTAGGAGCTGGAAAAAAAAATATACAACTCTTATAAAAGTAATATTTACCCAAGAGAAAAATATTGCTCTTGTTCTGGTTCACCTACTTCCATTTTTATGTTGTAGTTCTGGCCAAGAACACTCTCCAGGAGTTCTTTGATCGTCTGGTCTGAGGGAGATGGAGAAGTAGACTGCAGGGAAGCAATTATTTCATCAATAGACCTTGCAACCACTTTCACAGGCAATGCTGGTGTGGAAGTAGGCTCTTCAGGTTTGCTCTGCTGGAAGTTCTTCTTGTATATTTTTGAAGTGTCTGGTCTAGTCACATCTCTTGCCTCTTCCAACTGTTCTCGAGCAGACCTCACACTTGGCTGCTTGCTTCCTTTTCTCAGCACTCTTCTCAATTCAACATCTAAATCTTTTTGCTTTGCTTTTGAAATGACTCTGCTTCTCTCCTTACAGCTTTCCCTGGTTATTTTTCCCTTTCCTGAAATGTTTTTACTTGTATCAGAATCTGTAGAGCTAATTTCATCACTATCTTTCATCACAGTATCCATTTCTTCAGTTTTATCTCTTTTTAAATTCTGGGAATCCGTCTGTAGCATACGCACTCTATTCTTTGCTTTACTAACAGTTTTTGTCTTTTCTAATGAGATAGGGGAGCTTTTAATATGAAAATTAGACCTGGAGTAACTTGGCTTCTGAAGTGGTGCTGGGTGCTTGACCATTACAATTTTTTTAGTAGTACCTGCAAAAGATGCTATTACTGGCAGTTTTACAACTGTGCTTTCATGACCACAAGTGGCATTTTCTCTGTGAACTTTTTCGGAGCAACTTCTCTGATTTTTGTCAGCACCATCTTCTTCCACAGATTTATTTCTTTGAGCCATCACCCTGAGATCAGGAGTTTGTTTTTTCATGTCTCTTACTTCAGAAGATATCCTTACTTTCTGTGAACTTCAGAACACCCAAGGAATTAATTAGGAATATTTTTATTTATATTCATGACAGGCTTATGTGGACTCTTTGACCTCTGGAGAGGATAATGTTCTTAACTGATGTGATTGATCTGGTGTTAAATCTTCCAATAAGGGCTAAATGCTCACGTTTCTAGGAGCAGCAACTATTGCTTGTTTGATCTTCAGACTATCCCACTGAGATTCCCTGCATATAGTCTCACGTTCCTTAATCACATTCAGCTCTTCCACATAACTCAGTCCAAAGCGGTCATGTTTTCTAGCAATTTTCTCCTACTGTATGCAGCCTGTAAATTCAAACAGAAATGAGTTTTTGTATTTTATATAGCGACGCAGAACCCAATCTTGCAAAGACTACTTCATTTTGCTAAGGGTCCCATTGATTTTAACAAGATTGTTCTGCACATACATAATTAAGCACCAGCAATGGCTATTAGCATTTTACCATTTTACCTGAGGAAACAACAGAACCATTTCTGTCTTCGGGAGCATTAACCGGGAGTTGGACAGAAGCTCCCTAGAGAAAGAAAAAAAAAAAAAAGAAAAAAAACCCACACTTGAGAAAGGATAAATGCTTTCCCGAAGCAATCACAAAAAGCACTTACAAAAAAACAGTGACCTCTCCAAGCCCTTTCTCCCTCTCGAGCAGGCAAAGGGCCTCCCTCCCCTCAGAAAAGGGCCTCGCAGCCTGGCAGCTGATAGCCCACGGCCGGGCCGCCGGCACGAAACAGGGGCCGGGGCAGCACTCCCGCCACGCACCGACACGGGCCCCACGCAGGAGGGCCGCTGGTCTCCTCCCGCACGGCGCTAGCAGCCCTGGGGACGACGAGCCGGGCCCGCAGTCCCAGGAAGAGCCGCCGCCGCTGCCTCTGGAGCCGGCAGGCCGGGAAGGACGCGCTCCGTAACCAAGCAACGAGGCTCCCGCTAGCGGAGAGAGCGGCAGCGCTGGCTGCCACCCCTCGGCCGGCGGGGAGGGCCCGCCAGGGGCCACGCCGGGCTGGATCTCCCCTGGGGCGCAGGCGGGACCCGCGATGTTCCCGCTGTCCGTCCTTGTGGGAAACGGAGGTGTGAAGTCTTCCTCTGGCGAGAATTTACTCCCTTGAGTCAGCTTATATCTGAAGGTCAGCAAGTTTCAACGTCATCTGGAGCCGTCATTAGAAACGCTCAAGCTGAATCACGGGTTTCTGAAGGCCACGGGATGGGCGAGGTTGTTTGTACCGTTGTAGCCTCGTTTCTCATCTGCGTACGGCGACCCTGTTCTGCTGTCAGTCACAGGCTCTTTTAAAGTTTTGCCCTGAAAACTAAACGTATGAATGGCATTGCTGGAGATTTGTGTAGCATGCTACGCAACCGCTTCGTAAATGCAATTACGGATGCATTTTTCCTATCAAACTAACTTTCCTAATTGTCAAAGAGTCAGCCTGCAGATGAAAGCCCAACTCAGGTGTGTTTGTCTCATTTATCATCATCAATAAAGTTTCTGTCATCAGGATTTTATTTACAGTACTAAAGATTGCCTGCAATAGGATAGACTCCGTCTCAAACTCCATAAACCAACCAGCTTTGCAGTATTAACATGAGCAACAACTCTGAAACCAGTTCTCTGGGAGGAATCCTGACCCCGTGCCTTGCAGTTTTACTAGCCTGTCCTTCAGAGAACAGAGGTATCAAATATATTTGACAGTTGTCTAGTGAAAGTTAAATTTTAACAGTAGTTCTTTTCACACAGGAAGTATGAAGTATAAGTGGACCAAGAAAATATATGACCATTGCAGTGTTTAACAAATATAGGGATGACAACATGTGCCAAAAATCATCAAACTTTAGGAAAGAAAGACAAAAATGTACATACGAATTAAAAGAAAATGTGAAAAGTCAAAAGTGAATCTGTCAAGATGGTCATAACTATGGCAGAAACCTATAAAGTCACATTGACCAGGTTCCCAAGAAGGCTAGTTGTCTAGAACACAGTCAAAGCAAAGCAGCTTATAGCTGTAAGGGCAAGGGGGAAGAGGGGGCGGCGGGGGGGCGAGGCAAGCAGATGTTTCCCACGTATAATCTGAACTCAAAGCACTGCAATTTCCGTGAATCTCTGGACTGCAACACTTCACAAAATTATGCTTGTAATCCACTTAAGTCTCCTATGGTGGGTAAAAATAAAGGGGTTTTTTTCTTCAGTTTGGGTCCTCAAACACCCATGTGATAGCAAGGAACTGTAGACACTAACTGCATGTATTGGATTCAAATATGACACTCAGCTGATTGAAAGGCTCCACTGATCTAACAGGCAAATGTGTTCTATTATCCTCTCCATTCTTTGTAGCTTTCAGCTACAGCTTTGTAGCTTTTTTTCCCCATCCATTTGTATTCCTGGAGTTCAAGGGGGTAGCCAGTGTACTTCTTGCAAACAATGCTTCTTACACTGGGCTACATGGCCAACTTTTAGTTTGCTAATGCAACTAAACATTTATCGATGAAGATGAAAAACTCATTAGCCAGTCACTTTACATCCCAATTAATAGCAGGTTTTCTTCTTCTGATAGCAAGATAATTGATTAAAGCCCTGTAATACACTCTAGAAAGCCTATCTATTCGGTGTCTAATTTTCTTCTCCCTCTCTCTCTAGCAGGAATCCCAGAGTAGCTGGAGGAGCAGAAGGTGGAATATGAAGGAGCTAATCCGTGCTGAAGGATTCCTATGAGCTGTCCGGGCCATTAGAGCAGTTCAGAACGGGAATGAAGTGTTACATTGCCTCATTGAAAATGAATCCTATTAGCAGTTTAATGCAGTTGTAAGCCTAGAGAACAGATTCATTTCAAACTAGTTAAACAGTAAATAAAGCCTCAACAGTTTCGTTTACCTAGAACAGTTCCTCTCTGCAGGAGTCACAGTGGGATGTGGAAGAAAAGACCCTGCATGTGAAGAGGTATTTGCATCAGGAAGTTCCAGGAAGAAGCTGCTGAATGCCAAGAAGGATTTGCATTAAAAAAAAAATTTAGGAAGAAGGAAAAATCCTTAGACATGGGTTTCCTCTTCAGGTTAATAGTTGTGGTAAAATGGAAAATAAGTATGCTGCATTATCTTGCTGTATCTGTTGTCTGTCGTTTCTGCTTGCAGCAGACCAGGGACTGGCTCCTGGAGCATGTAGATAGGTTGCAAGAAAGGTTCAAGCCTTGGTTCATGTTTCCTGCTTTACTGCATTTAGGCTCTAGGTCTTATAAGCAAAGAGAGTGAGCACCCAAGGGGAGATGATGTCAAGTTAAATCCCAAATGCTATGTTTTTCCCCTACTAAGCCACACACATTGCTTAGCAGTCGTTCCAGTAGTAAGTGTTACCAATATATCCTCTAGAACCTCAGCTTGAGCTCCAGAGATGACAGCTTTAGAGATTCTTGTCTCTGATAAAACAGGGAAAGCTTTTTCCTCTTTCCCCAGGTATTATTAGCATGTGCCTTCCTGTTAATGGCCACAGAGATGCTTGAAGCCTGAAGGTGTTTTTTTATTAACAGTAAGTATTTAGTTAAACAGGTTAAGTCGTATCTCTGTGGCTTGCAAAGTATAAAATTTTATCAGTAGATGAATCCTTATACTTAGAAAATGGATCTAGATTTGGAAAACCTGGTGCAGGTTTAGTCCTTGGATACACATTATTATTTTTCTTAATAAGGCCTCACCAGATCACTAAGCTTTCAAATATCACATAAATTGTATCATGTAAGTTATTAGTCGATTAATGTTACAAGGAAGGTTTTTTCCTGTTTAGAAAGAAAAGCAATCATTAAAAAATTGTTCAAGTGGTTGGAGAAAGTTGAAAATGCAGTTTCTTTTCTCCTAAATGGGCTGAGTCCACACTACGTAGGAAGTCCCGCTCCCAGTGCACATCATTGACATGATCCAAGTTCATGCTGGAATGAGACTGAGAGGCACATAATTCTCCACAAGCTTTGAGAGTAAACTAGAGCACAGTCAGGAGGAGTTAATGGTGCTTCCAGTAGTCATCTTCATTTGTCAATCAGGAATAAGAATAGCGTGGTGCATATGAAATATGTACAACCTTGTATGGGTTCTCCAGAAAATGCCAGAAAGAGACCTTGGAAAGCCGAATAGCAATTACTTAAAGCAAAGAGGAAAGTAAAGCATATAAGTGCTTTGCTACTTCTGTGGCTTGCATCTAGTTTGTCACTAGATGCTAAGCCTCACCTTGATATCCTTTTCCAGCCAGCTGTGGAACTCTTTTCACACTAAATAGCCCAAAGGCCCCCATGCTGCTCTCTCCCTTTCAGTGTGCTACAGCCCAAACACTGGTCTGGTCTGCCTCAAAATGGCAGTACACTTGCTCAAAACTATTCACCAATGCGATAGTTCTAGCAAGGATAACAGCATATTTACAAATACATGTACACCATGTTGCCCAAGTAGCATTATCCCATTTTAGATACCAGGAGCTAAAACAAAGAGAGTTTGAATGACTTTCTGAAGTCCCCTAGTAGAACCAGTGGCAGATTCATAACTTGAGTCTGTGCTTCTGACTGCTAGCAAATAGAAAATCAGAGGTATGTATCCTCAGGCTACAGACTACTGTTTGCCCTTTCAGCAAGGGCATCAGCACCTTTGTTGTAATATTCCTGCCATGTATATTTATAAAAAATGGCCATAAATACTCAGAGAAAATCAATTACTTATAAGCTAAAACACTGAGCTCTGAAGTATGGCCCCTGGGAATGTAGCACACAAACTTCTCTGACAGTTACACTGTGGGGGTGGTAATCTGTAGCAGAAGAGTGGAGTAACAGGTAGGGGGGAAATAATCTCTTAAATCAGAGAGTGTCAATACTGAAAAGCTTTTTGGTTAGTTGTGAGGGTTTGATCCAGCTGAGCTGAAGGAAATACTTTTTTTTTTCAGTAATCAATCTGTATTGAATCCCTTGTGCAGTAAGCAGCCATAGAAAGGTTTTGTGGAATTAGTATTATAAATCACACGTTCAATACCTTTGTAAGTGTTGAAAGCATTGTCATTCTTCTAATCACTATATCCTATCTTTGATCCATAACAAATATGCACACCCAGCTCTACTAATCTCCATTATGATTGTGAGATATCTGTATTTTCCAGTACTATGCCAGCAGAAATGGTTAAAATTTTTCCTCCTCCTATGATTTTGGGCTTTCCTTTTTTTTTCTGTCCTCGTTGAAACACATTACTTAAATAATAGCATTTCCTTTATAATTCAGAATAAAAATAAATAAAAAGTGGGAAACAAGATGGAGACCTTTTCTTTAAAACCATATTTATAATGAGAAAATCATTTGGTCATTTTGAGTGATCGTGAATCCCAGATTTATTTTTTGGTATGACATGGCTGTAATGTTTTCAGATATGTGCCATTTTATTATATAGCCCAAGAGAAATTATGTGAGTTACTTCTAGAAGTCCATCACACAAAGCCTTTATTATGAGCACAAGGTCAGAGACACTCCTGGCTTTGAAGAAGGCTGTAAGCAATAAACGGAGAAATTACAGCTAAACAGCTGCCAAAGTCTTTGCTGGGCTCAGCCCTTTACTTGCTTTAGTTTTAAAATTTGATCATATTATCTCTGCTCTCCATTGTCTTTCAGTTAATACAGCAGGTTTTCCAGTCAGCTATTCCAGTTCAACTCTTCTGTTCTCTTAGGAAAACAGCTTGACTGTGGATATATAGATGGAGATATATCTGTGTGTGTTTGTAGATCTCATAGGTTTCACAGCTGAAGACTCAGTGTTGGGGATGTAGAAATCCCATTTAATCACAAAAAAAAAAAATCTTCACATCTGATCAGTTTCTTCAGCAAAAGGAAATGCCCTGCAAAGAGTGAGGAGAGATGTCTGCAGAGGCTGAAGTTCCAGCTACCTCTAAGGGTAATGGTAAAAATGTTTTAAAGGATTTCTGGCAGAGGATGGATGACGAACTGAATATTCCTAGATACTGATCATGAAAAGGTGAAAAGGATTGTTCATTCAATGAGTAATACGAAAGCCACCTGATGAGCTATGAAATTGTTGGAATGGAAGAGAGGAACAAACTCTCTTTTGGAGAAACTGAAGGAAAGGTCAGGTGTTGGATTCACAACCAATCAT